TAACTCTCGAACCAAGTCTCGGCAGGTGGTGCCGGAGAGGAAAGCCTGGACGATCTCCGAGTCGCCGACGCTAGGCAACTCGGTGCACTGCTTGGAGAAGCGCCGGATGAAGTCTCGGAGAGACTCGTTCGGCTTCTGGCGGCAGCTCTTAAGATCCCAGGAGTTCCCAGGGCGCACGTATGTGCCCTGAAAGTTCCCGACGAAGATCCTAACCAAGTCGCGCCAGTCGTGGATTTGTGAGGGAGGGAGGTGCTCGAGCCAGGCTCGCGCCGAGTCTGACAAGAGCAAGGGGAGGTTGCGGATGATGAGCAGGTCATCATCCGCGCCACCTAGCTGACAGGCCAAGCGGTAATCGGCAAGCCATAGTTCGGGGTTGGCCTCGCCGTTGTACTTCGCGAGATTGGCTGGTTGCCGAAATCGGGCGGGGAAAAGAGCAGCGCGGATGGCCCTGCTGAAGACCCGAGGGCCTGGCAGTTCAGGGGAAGGACTGCGGTCCTCCCCGCTGTCATAGCGGCCGCCTCGGTGTGGGTGGTAGCCCCGAGCGGGCCCCTCGCTGTCATGGTGTCGTCGCCTGCTGACCACCTCATGGTTTCCCTACACCTCGCGTCGGTTGCCGAGGTGGTCTAGAAGCACGGGGGCCCTGTGGACTATCGGTGCTCGTGCGGGCTCGGGACGAGCCGAGGCTTCCCTGTCTTGCTGAGGCGGTGATGCCGCGGGCAGGTTCGAGATGCCCCCGTGCCGTCGGGAGGCGGAACTCTTGGCCTGCTGAACCACGGCGGTCTCTAGGAGCTCTCGGAGCTCGCCGTGGACCCACCGCCCCTCCGTGGTAGAAGGCTCAGGCATTGCGCGGACCAGCATTGCTGTGGCCACGATGTCCTGGCTGGCGCGATTGAAGACTGGGGGTTGCTCGCTCCCTTCGTCGTCGTGGATGTGATGATGTACATCACGGGCCCTTCGTCGGGCTCCTCCGCCTTCACTGCGACCTCGCTGCTCCTGTTCGAGAGAGTCTCGAAGCTGCTGTAGAAGGAGTCGGTCCTGTTCGACCTTGGCCTGGAACTCACGGAGCTGTTCCAGGTCTGGACGTTGAGGTCGCGCAAGAGCAGGGTTCTCGTTCCGTGCTGCCGGTAGGACAATGCGCGGAGGTGTGGCGGCGCCTGTACCTGGGTGAAGCGGGGAACGGCTACCCGCCCCCTCGTCTTCCTCGCCCGCCCTCGGCATCCCAAGCCCGACGTGGAAACACTCATGAGCGGGGTCGTAGGTGCCCTCGTTGTCGGAGTCGGAGTAGCCGAAGCAGTAGTCGCTTGCGGCCAGGAAACGGCGCATAGCCCCAGGGTCGTGGAGTCCAGAGAAATCCACTCCGGGCCATGCCTCGTCCTCCTCTGAGGAGTTTGCGTGGGTGCCCAGGTCGAGAGTGAAGCGCTGGCGGTGTTCTGGGGGATCCTTGTGAGCGGCGGCGTAAGCGTAAGCATAAGAGGTGGCGGCATTTCTCAACCCAAAGGGGTATGAGGATGGTGTCGTCGCTGGACTTTGCTCCGCCAAAACTGGCTCTTCAGGGAGTGGTGGAGCGGAGCTTGGTGACTGGGCGTCGCCATGTGCCACCGGCGTTTTTCCTTCGTCCAAGCTCAGGCTAGACAGGTCCCCAGCCAGGGAGCCTATGCCAACAACTGGTCGTAGGATGTCGGCGGGGAGCGGCGTGCCATCCTGGATTCGAGTAGCATTGGGGTGGTCTTGCTCGCGTCGTGCCTGGCGAGCACGGCGAGAGCGGCCGCCCGGGCGCCGCCTGCGCCTGGGCTGCCGGTGCGTGACGTCGCCGTCGGTTGGTGGGGCTCGGGGTGTGAGGAGTACCATGTCGTACTCATGCCCCAGAGACATGAACTCTAGGCCTCCGAACCAGATCACCGTGCCGAGACGTAACGGTCGTATGGGGTCTGCCATTCGGAACTTGTTGGGATGACAAAACTGACACGCAGAGGCCCCTACCTAGCGCGCCAACTGTCGGTGTTTTGGACCGGGGGGTCCTCAACCAACCAACTAGTGAATTTGAACTGCGTGCCCCTAATCCCGGATGGTGATGCAAAGAGACACAAGGTTTATACTGGTTCAGGCAATCGATGCCCTACGTCCAGTCTGAGAGATCGATCTTGTATTCCTTGCACCGAAGTGCTAGTAGTAGGGGGTTACAAGCACAGGGAGAGAGGGAGCTAATCCCAGGTCTCGGCGAGGTGTCGTGTGGGCTGCTTGAGACGTTGCTCTCAGGCGGCTGGGATGTGTATGTGTGTGAGCTACCAGGTGTTCTTCCTCTTTTTCCTTTTCCGCCCCCCCAGAGCTGTCCCTGGCTGCTTCCTTTTATAACCGCAAGGAGGGAGCCAGGAGTACATGAGTGAGCTATACGTGGAGCCTACTGTAGTTCAGTCCTATAGCAGCATGGTGTTGGGGATGGCGATTGGTACTTGACTGGCGCGCCGTGCTGGCCAGGCCCGAGGTTGTTGAGGTCGTGGGTGTCCTTGTTGACGTCTAGTCAGTATGGCTTCCACCGTAGGAGACATGCCGTGCCTTGTGTGTTCTTGACTTGGTGGAGTGCCGAGGCCTGGCGGGTGCTGTAGCTGATCGTGCCGAGGCCTGCTTTGTCGAGGCCTCGGAGGTGACCCGTGTATGATGCGGGGGTCTCGGTGGTCAGCGTCGTACCCGGTTTAGGTGGAGAAGTGCGGAGCATGTGTCCACAGGGCACGGTAACCCCTGCACCGTCAGTAGGGGATGGTAAAAAGGAGATTTGACTGCTGTCCCATCGCCCCTGTTGCTGTACCCTGCTAGTCGTGGCTGACGTAGTAGGTGTGACCAGGCGCACTTAAACGGATGTGACGGCTCGCCAGAGGGACGGTTGAGGCAGAGGCGACGAGGATGCGGGACGAGCCCGGCCTCGGCCGAGGCGGAGAAGGAATAGTGCATCCGAGGCCCTGTCGGGGGGTCTCGGACGAGGCGGAGGACGAACGGTTGGTCTTTCATGCTGATTCCGAGACTACTGGGACCCAGACTTGACCCTCCATGCCACTTTGTCCTTGGTGCAGGAGTTAGGTAGCACAGGGCAGTACGGGTGTCAGCAGGAGGCACAGTGATGAGCACAGTGGTAGGTAACCCCTGCTGGGCCCGGTCCCCTGTCCCGTCGGTCATTCTGCCTGTATTGTGCCAACGTGCGGCTGACGTTGCGGGAGTAGTGGGGCGCATTGACTGGACGTGGCGTTTTGTCAGGGGAGTCAGTCGGGACGGAGGTGACGAGGTTGTTGCCGAGCCCAGCCTCGGGCGAATCGGAGAATTGGTATCCCATCCGAGGCATTGCGGGGCGAGGCCTCGACGAGGGGGCCTCGGCGAGAGGGCCTCGGCGGGGCGGAGGGCTTTGGCCTTTCGTCTGAGGCCTCGGCGCAAGCCTTGGGCGAGTCGGAGAATCTGCCGAGACCTCGTGGTTGTCCTTTGGCTTTGATTTTTGCAAGGCTTAAGCAATATTTTTTGTTCTTGCTTAGGGTACCCCTTCTTGTGGTATCTGACAAATACCAATCAAGCCTCATAGCTTTGATCTTTACGTACATGTCAACGACCCATTGTTGGAAAAGTCATCCTCCAAATAACAATATGTTAAAAAGCCCCTCTCTCACTTGCATCAAATAACAATAGTACTCTCTTGCGGTCACAAATCTCCCAGATTGTCGTTCCTCCACCATGGTACTCATGTTTTCACCTTGTTGTATGTCCGCGTCATCCTCACCTTGCTCTATCTCTAACCAAAAATTATACATTAGTATGTACCCATGCGTTTTATTAAGGCATTGGAAATTAAATCATGTTCGGTACCTGTTGGATCTACTACTTCTGTTGGATCAACCGAGGTGTGTCCTTCCTTATCAGTCACTATATCATTGTACGGCATAAATTTATTCCAACCAGTTTCCCCCTTAGGTTTAAATAACGGATATGCCAATGGATCATAACATCCATGATATGCTTTGATATAGCGCGGGCGATCCCCTCTGGCATACACAAGCACACTTCTATCAAAACATCTTTGGGGATCGTTGCCATCTGACCAGATAGCTGCGACCTGTGACGCCGTGGGTGCATTGTACCTTGTTTTTAGCAAAGGAACATATATTTAGTAGTACAAATAAATCAAATTTATTTGTAGTAGAATAATAATATCTTGTAATACATAAACATATTCCTGAACATGCGTACCTTCGTTGGTCTGGTGTGACATTAGTATTGAGTTCAATTACATAGTCATCAAGATTCGGAATAGCTCCAACTCAGTTAAAGGTCTGTACATATGGGTTGCCTTCCATTATTCGCAGCACAGTTCTGATAAGATTGATATCTAGGTCAGGCGATCTCTTCTTTCCGTGCGCCAAACTGTCATCTTCCGTATCATAAAAGTAGAGTTGCAAGTGGCGAGCCCCTTTAGAACATGGGACCAAATGGTCTAGGCGATGGTACAAGGCTCCATGCACACGAAATGTATATATACCAGTCCCTGCCGCGGTGGCAACTCGTCGATCCAAGGTTACTCCAAGGCTCGTGAAAGAGAAATGAGAGTTGAAGTACCAGATATTTTGCTTGAAATATTGTGCATCATTATCTACCTGACTTGTGAATAACATTTTTAACTCATCAGGCACTTGTGGAACATGTACTTTTATCTTTCCTTTTCTACAACAGAATCCAGGTGATTCATATTGAAATTTCATTACTCCACAGTACAAGCAGTTAGGCACCTTTCTCAGAACATGGTGCCTATCAGGCAAATTTTGGTAGATATAATCATAAGGATCTTCATTGTTATTCAGATCAACACCATTGACAGTGACAAGATAGGACTCGAAGGCACTATCTGCTGTGAAAGCAAGCACTGGCCGTCATTACACCACACTAATAATATTAATTAGGAATGCCATGACAAGATTAATAATATTAACTCGAAGGCGCCACACAAGAAAAAAGATACCTTCACCAGCTTACTGTCTGGCTTCATCGTCAGCAAGAAGATCATCAATATCTAAGACATGAGGTGCCTCCATATGGTCATCATCTGCATGATGTTTGCTCGAACATGAGTTATTAGTACCTTCACCAGCGTACTGAAAATATAGAAATAGGACACACCTTCATCAGATTCATTGTTTGTAGGTTCGAACAAGGCACTATCAAATTCTATATCAGTCTGCTCTATAGATCTTAGCTGAGCAGGCTGTTTACCGGCTGACTGTGATCTCATCTTTCTACTGTATTCCCTCTTTTTTTGCAACAAATTTTCTTTGCTGTTTGTCATCCATATTGTTGTACCTCTCTTTTGTGCGAGGGCCTTTTTCCTATTTGAGTTGCCAACTGGTCAACAATAGTTGGAAAACATTGACACGGTGAGCTGAGTTGTACATGTAGCTGTACATATTAAAAATGAAAAAAATAGCAGGATGGCACCTGGTGTTGCCTCACTTGTATCCAATAGAGTGTGGCTTGATAGGTTGCTGGGAACACAAGAATTATCATAGGTCGGTTGTCTTGTCCGTACATAATTATGATTCGTATGTAGCCAATCCGTGTTGTCATCAGGAATGACATTTTCCTTGTCTTGAGCGCTTGATGGTTGGAGAAAACTTGAACATGCTATCACCGAATAAATTGTGAGATAGACAAAGACACTTAATTTTGGTAAAGAGTAACATTGCAGACAATACCATGATGAGCTCCTAGAGTATTATTATTATTATTTGTTAATGATTCTGTCCTATTGAATAATCGTTGTTCCTGACGCCTTTTGTTCCTTTCTTTTCTTATTTCTTCGGACTCCTCAGCCTTTCTCTTTGCTCGGTATTCTCGTTGTTTTCTATTCCTCTCTTGCCTCTTTCGCTCGGCCTCATCCACAGGTGCTGCAAGTGTTTATATATTTGTTTAGAAATACAAACTGAGGGTTAGAAGATACTGACAGCAATGCCATGACAGTAGTGCGCTCTGAATTATGAGAGTGGAATACCTGTGTTGTTGTTTGTTATTTCGCCTAACGCAGTGCGCTCTTATTTCTGAGATGCCATGTCTTCCTGTTTTTTTTTTAAATCTGCTAGCAAATGATTTCGCAATACTAATATGAGGAATCAACAACGATTTGGCCTATCCAATTTAACCAGGTAGCAAATGGCAAACTTACCGATGGTGGTGCCTTGAGGGAGATTTAATCTGCAAGCTAATGATTTCGCAATACTAATATGAGGAATCAACAACGATTTGGCCTAGTTATGGACCTGTAGCACCCAAAAATCCAAATTTGGCCATATGTCATGATGATTGGAACAGGCATTGTTGGAAAGGCAGGAGGACTAAGTAATAATCGTTAAACTTGAGAACGTGAGGGGAAACAACTCTACTAACTTGATACTCTTATTGATATACTAAAACCAGAACGCTTTTGTATCGGTTTTGTGTAATCTGAACTGGAGACATATAACTGAATCAAAATAGAAGCTAACTTACACCATGTCTTGCAGAGTACCGAAGTTACTGAAAAGCTACAGGAAGAAGAAAGGAAACTGAAACTGAGAGCGCGGAGGTAGCCAAGAAAACCATTAACAATTGTTTGAAGAAACTTACATATGCAGTGAATGCCCTTGATGAGGACGAGGCGAGCAAGAGCACACTTTGAGGAAGATGATGATGACTGATGGCGTAGGATAGTCCGATGACGCCCAGCTGATGACGGACGCGGCATCCCACTTGGCCACGCCGCTGCCCTCCAGGATTATATGAAGCCAATGAACGCCTCGCAGTTGGCCGTAGCGTCACCTCCGTGCGTGCGTGTCCACGTACTGCGTACCCAACCCACGACCACCAGTCGGACTGATCTGTGGCCGCCCGCCGCCGCCCTCCCTTCACCGCTGACCCCGGGCAATGGCGATCTGCGCCGCCGCGCCTAGTGTCGTGCCCCTCGTGAACCTTAATTTAGTTGGCCCTGCGTGCTTGGGCCTAGAACGAGAATGGGCCAGATTATTCGGTTGCCAGCATCGCCGGAGAGAAAAGAAAAGCCATGAAGAACATAAGAGAACACTAGAGGAACCGGGAAAGATAGCAATGCGCACGACCAACTGAAAGCGAAAGAAGGCAACAGTGATTCCTGATTTTTGGCATTAAGTACCGCTGACAGCAAGGAACATGCACGCGTTGCGTGGAGGGGTTGTATACTACTACTATAACCGTAAATAAAATGGAGTCAAAATCAATCCGCAACTGTAACTCCTTTGTGGAAATTGGCCAAAGCGATGAAATCTTGGCATGTACTAACCGTAAAAGTTCAATCCACCAGGACCCTTATTTCTCGGGAATCCACCAGGACCCGTAAATTTTAAACTTTTACGGCATGTGCTAAATCGTCTAGGGTAAGTGGGTAACGCTACCTAGTATATTGCCCGTGCTAACACTACGGCGACATCTAGGGTAAGTGGGTAACACACATTATACAGGCATTCATCAAACTTGGTAAATCTAAAGCAATCTATTATACTTGATCAATGGTTATTACAGATGTGTCAGCCTGTCGCTACAGCTCCGGTAATCCCCAAACTGTTTTAAGATAAGAAGGGCCGCCTCCGCCTGGCCATCCTGCTGCTTCCTCCTCCTCCTCCTCCTCCTCCCCTCCTAGGCCCCATCCCGAACCTCAAGTGAGCGCTCCTGAACCTCAAGCTGCCCTACCTGGCGGACAACCGCCTAGACGGCCGCGTCCCGCCTAGCCTAGGCCTGCTACATCGCGCCACCGTCCTCGTCCTCTCTAGCAACCACCTGACGGGCAGATCCCCGGGTCCCTGCTGCCCCGCCTCACATCGCTACCACCTTGACAACAATTCTGCGTACAAGCCAGCCGCTGCATCTGCAAGGGATTAACAATGAATGAGGTGTAAGTTGGCCCAAAAGTTGAGTACACCTTGCCCTTCTGTTTGTAGAACTTCTAGTTCCTCAAGAAGCAATGGGAAACAATGTACCTGACATAATTCACCATCCCACAATAACTTGCGCTTATCATGCAGAACAGTCTTTGAGTGGATCAGGCATTGAAGCTTCATATTGAACATTGGTTTAGCTAAGGATATATCAAGCTTCATGCAGAACAGTCTTTGAGTGGATCAGGCCATGCTGAACTGCTGAAGAGCAAGAGGAGTAGGCTTAGCGGCAATAGTGTGTGATAATGAGAAATTGAAATCCAAGATAGGCGAAAAGCACTTGGTGTACTGAACCATGAGGGCTAAGGTTAAGTGAAAACCAACCAGCAGGCTACTGCTGTTGATTGGGATAGCAGGTCTGTGAAGACCACAAAGTAGCACTTCCTAGTATAGATAATGGGTAACCTGCTATCCTGTTAAAGTTTGCAATTAATAGGTAAAAGAACTCTAGGATTCAATCGTAGTAAAAGGAAGTCCTTTTAGCAAAGATAACTCTAGGATTAATAGGACAATTCATAGAAGTGATCTTTTTTTAATTCAGAAAGCATTACTGTACTCCATATAGCCATGTAGGATTTGACATATCACAATCGTCAAGCAAGCAGCATAGTACCTCAGTTGTATTCTCTTGTTTGGAGTAACCCCCACAAATGTGAAAAATTGGAAAGCCAAAGGAGAATATAACTATAGTTCATAAGAGCGAAGTAGGGGCTGAAGATCATATAATACCATTATATCTAATTCTAAAGACATGCATTGTTGGTGCGAACAAATTTATTTTATAACTCAACAAATGTAAGGTCAATCCAACATAATCAAAGGAGCATGCATTAAAAATGGCACCTCTGTATATAATTCTGTAGACGATTTGTATGCTGTACAAACAATTAATTTGCTAAAATGAGTAATAAGGTTAAAGTACAAACAGGACATGGTTCATTTTGCTAAAACGCTGCTTTTAGGGTAGAATATATAGTGTTAACTTAAGTATAACCCATATAGGTAAATGGCTCAAAAGACATGTGTAGTTGTAGCAGAAAAAAATCAAACAATAACATAACTAAAGTGAGTAAATAAAACTGGCAAGCAGGGCGATCAAACTAACCAGAAACAATTAAGCTGCTGCTCTGCTTGCTCTAGAGTCTACAGGTAAGTTGAACCAAGACAATTAAGGAGGTACTCAAGATAACCATAAAATTCAGATTTGTAGCTAAACCAAAACAGTTAATAAAGCCGGAGAAATGCGTAAAGAAGACACAAACTTTGCCACTGGTGGTAGGTACATACGAATCGAAGCACATAGTCATTTGGTATTGGCAATGTGATGAAGCCACAAAGGACTCTGAGAAAGGAGATGCCCTTCTTCCAGGGTCATTCCCCAACCGTGAACAAAACGTACATGGGCATTAAGCAGGTACACCCATTGCTCACAATGTGATCTCATAGTAATAATTTATTTAGAGCAGGAAAAAGATTAGTTGAAGCCAGTGTCACAAATACATAGATGATAGTTTGTCTACAAAATACACATAGTATATTGCCCATGCTAATGCTACAGTAAAAACAAAAGGACAATATCAGCAGCACAAGCACTAGATTCACTTTTGAAACAATTCAGAGTAATTAACTATTGCAAAGCCTAGCCTAGCTGTACAATACCAAGTTACACGAGAACTTGAACTAAAAAAATGAACCAAGGAAAAATGAAGAACTCACCGAGGCACCAGGAAGCTTGTTTCCAGCAATGCCAGACCTAGATAGAGTATCAATCGAACAACCAGATTCCATAACAAGCATCATATTATGAAATCAGACTCTAAATGTATTTCTCAAGCATTCATATTTTCAATCTAAGGCAATACCACTGACTTGCAGAACTATTCCCAACAGAGTTAACAAAGTAGTTAAGTTATCACCTCCTTCTGGTCTGCAGTGCTAGATGACATGGATGATAACATCAGGCCAAGAATCAATAGAGGTGCAAGGAAATTCTGCAGCTGTTTCATAGCATTCTCCTGGAAATTCCATCCTTCATCTGTATTGGATTCCTCTGTGCACCAAGAGATTGCATTTCATCAAAGGTTGAAATAGTTAGTACTGATGTCACGAAACAAAAATTGCAACCAAGAGGTTGCATTTCCTCTGTGCAAAAGCTATGGCATTCATATGACACCTGCTGTGTATTGCAACTAAGATAGACATGCTTGGCATTTTCACAAACATCTTATGAGCAATCACAGTAGTGCCATCTGCCATGATCCTAAGCATAAGCAAAGATTTCCCTAATCTCCAACCCAGCACAGAGTTGGTCGAACTTACCAGTACCAGCAACAATGACATGGACACGTGCTTGCAGATGCACTTCCTTGTTCATGGCAATATGCTGACCGGATGGGTGGCCGACGTGGTGCACGGGTGCCACGGATGGCGGCGAAGTCCTCGGCAATCTCGTCCCTGGTGAGCACGACATGTAGCACAGCGACGGTGTCTGAAAACAAAGCACTAATGCTTCAAAAAAAATAGCTTTTACCAAAAATGTCTGAATTCACATAGATATATAGCATACTACAGTGCTATCAAATGTAGCACAGCAGCAAATGGTCAAATGCATCCGGTCTCCTGTGACCTTACTACCTGTACAGAAATCGCAGAAATCATTTGAACGCCCTCCTCTGCTGTATTGAACTTTGAAAAGGCATAAAAGGAACAACCTCTTATCCTGGTGTCAATCTCAGAGATAGGTGCGGGAAAGGGAGAGGAAGGAGCTGCCGTCCATCGTTTGCCCTCGCCAGATCTAGGGGATCCTGCACCTCCACCTCTGAAAGAGGCTCGCCCGCACCGCCATCGATCTTGGTGGCCCGGCCGGATGCACCTCCGAGCCGCCACTTTCCAACGGATCGGGGCATCACTCCAGGATCCGAGCGCCACCAGCCAGGAGAAGACCAAGCACCGGCATCCCGGAGGGAGGGTGCCTTGCGCACCGACGGCGGCGTGGGGGCGAGCCAGCGGGCAGCCGCTGCGATGGGGCAGGAGGAGGGAGTCGCACGACGCGATGGGGCAGGGAGGGGAGAGGAGTCGGAGTCGCGTGGGGAAGAGAGAGAGTCGCGCGTGCGGGAGAGGGGGCGTCGGGGCAGACACACTGGCCTGTTCGTTTCGTCGCAAAGGACAACCGCTGGCTGGTTTGGTGTGAGAGAAAAATACTATTCTAGTTTATAATCTACGATCGTATATGAGCAAGCGAATAGGCTAACTAAACCTGAGCCATCGGATTTGAATAAGTAATGAGAGAGAATGACTAAGAGATAATCCGATGCATCCGTTTTGATGGTGTTATATTTTCTAGGTATATTCATAGGTGTGAATGTAGCATAGGTCATAACTGTGGAGCAGGTATTTGTTGTATGACTGTAGATTTATTCTAACCGGTGGATTATAGGGTAGGGTAGATGAAACTATATAACCTTGAAATGTTTTCTAATACTGAATTGTATGGTAACTGTACACGACTGTTGAGAGAACTGGCATCCCGCAGCGAAGCGTGGGGCTCCCATCTAGTTATCAGTTTGCCCCCAAACCATGTGGAGAGGAGGCTGCCAGCTCCCGTCTCCACCTCTCCGCCGGGGCTCGATGGAAGACCCACACATCTCTCGTGTTGCCGTGGCAGGCCAACGTCTCCGCGCTCACATCTGCCCGAGCTTTGGCCGTCTGTGCGCGATGCCAGGCATAATGTCGTCGGCCCGGTGAGATCGTGCTAGCAGTATGTGTAAGGATGGTGTTGAAATTGCGTTCTGCTAGCAGCAAATATATATATATATATATATATATATAAAGTATGAAAGCGTCTCACAGATAGTACAACAGTTTAATAATTTTATCTGATGTTGCCCATAGCTACAATCAACAAACCATGAGTAAAGGTATGAAGAACATGGTCTGACATAGACGAAGCAAATAAAAAGAAAAAATAAAGAATAGCAAGGATGGCATCCCTGCCTTAATCAAATTCATAAATAAAAAATCATCATGCAATCCATGGTAACGTAAAGGGCTATCTGCAAACCTCTGCATACAGTGTCAGGCTACAGATAATAATCGGCTGCTCCTAACATTTTTTTTATTAATATAAAGGTCAGCTCCTAAAGTATCATTAGCAGATAAATGTGGCCAGGTACATATCTGTTGCAACCAGTCTAAAATTGCAACTCAGATCAGATTTGAATTTAAGATGCCAATTGTTGCTTGATGCACAGAACCCCATCTGTCATGAATTTCTGAAACCAGTGAAATATTGCATTGCGTGTGCCCCATAGCTTGCACAAACCGACGAAGCCAAATGATTTTCCTACGGTAGAGCCACTAAGGGTAACTAATTGACACACAGTAGTAGCCTAGCAGATCATCAACAGAGGAAGTGGTTGTGACTAGTACTCTACAAGACCTGAAAATATGAAAAAAGAAATGATGCAAGCAACAAATAACTTTCCCCATTGATAACTGCACAAATCCAATTGTGAAAATGAACCCCAAATAAGAAAAAACAAAATGTACAGCTTAATAGCGCGTCCTATTGCCTAGGCGTCGACCCACATCAAGAAATCGAGCAACCAGACCCAAATCAAGAAAGGACAATTAACAATTGAAATGGAGGAGGAACGAGGTACAGAGAAATAGGAGAGGGAGCAACCAGACACCTCACCGGAGCTACCGAGAGCTCGAACAACACCAAAATCAGTAAGAGGCGGACTACAGGTTTTGCCAAAAAAATCCGTTGTGCAGCTCAAACAAAAATGTAAACATACAAAATGGCTGGGCGGCGGCGCTGCAGACTCAACCGGCGTGACGGTGGTTTTGGACAGCAATTCCGCCGCCGCGCAAGCCACCCCGGGGCGAGTACGGCGGCGGCGTTGGAAGGAGGACTGGGCCGGGGATCCAGATTCAGTAACTTTGTTTGAGCAAGTCACGTTGTAACTTTTCTATCATCTCCTCCCTCCATTTTACATCTCATGGCGCTAAGTGATTCCAACGAGAAAACACAGAGAGGTCAGACTTAGCATTTTCCGCCTAGGCCGGTGATGCTCGCCGACGTGCACTCTCCCTCGCGCACCGCGAAGCCCCAACTCGTCGACGCAGGAAGCGGCGTCTCCTTCTTAGACACCTACCTGGGCGCTCTCGTCGGGCTCTACGTCCCTCGACGGCTCGACGCCGTCCCGCCCGTGCGACGTCGCAGGTCGCCAAGCTGCTGCACGCCATTGTCTGCAAGCCCCAAGCTACACTGACAATGGTGGGTTACTAATCTGTAGGATTCGTGTTTGTCGCAGAAGGGGAGGCGACGAGGTTCACGTTCCTAAACCTGCTCGCAGCTTTCCTCTCTCCATGGCTTCGTGCAAGCTTTCCTCTCTTCCACAGTTCCACGGCGCGGCACGAGTGGCCTATGGCAGGAACGGAGGGCGGCGGTGGCTCGACGCGAGTGTCCTGTAGCGGCACGGCGCGACGCAAATGGCCTACAGTGGCGGGGCGGGAGGGCGGCGGCGAGGAAGGGGCCGTGTGAGGCGGGGCAGAGCCGGCTGCAGGGGTGGTGGCAGGGCAGGGTCGGCGCGCTGGGCCACGTGCGGCTCGCGACCACAGCGGCGCGCGGGGGCGGGGGGCGACGCGCAGCTGCCTGGGCCATGGCGGCTCTCGCGCGTGGCCATGGCGGGGCATCCTGCGGCGCACGCAGCTCTCCGGCTCGACCATGGCTGGCCTCCCGCTTTCGGTGGGCGCGCGCCCGTGGTGGCGCGGGCGGCGGCGGTAGGGAAGACCGGAGGACGCAGGACGGGGAAGCCGTTGCGAGCGATGGGCGCAGTCACATAGACTGGCTGATGGAGGGGTCCCGATGGAGAGCAGACCCGCCTCAAGATCTGCAGGGACATGCACCTCAGCACGCCCCCCGGCGGCAATCCGCGTCCCTCTCGCACGGCGCGCTGCCTGCCTCGTTCTCCATCAGCAGCAGCCCGGCGTCTTGGTTGCTTGAAGGCTGCTTGTCTTCTTCTCGGCAACAACCCGGCGTCCTTGCTAAAGTGGTCGTCCTCATCTTCTCCACGGTGTCCTGGCCTCCTCCTTTCTCCGACACCGACCCGGCGTATATGGCGCGGTCACGGTTGCCGCGCGTGCGCCGGTGCAGCTTCTGGAGAGCAGCGAGTCCGCCGCTGCACGCGCGCTATCTCTCGCCGAAAATACCAAGTCTGTGTATTTTGCTGGGAGTCTTCAAGAGCCGTTCGATCTGCTTTGGACGTCGGATGTGAACGGGTAAGTTACGACGTGACTTGCAGGAGCAAAGTCACCGAATCTACGTCCCTGGGCCGGGGGCTGTGAGCTTTGTTGTCGGGGCTGGGGCTCCGCGTTCAGTCCAGCACGGACCTCAGCTCCAAAAGCGCTGGCCTTGGACTTTCCCTCTGGCCAAAACGGTGGTTTTTGTTAGCCCACGGGATCATCGGCTCAGGTGAGTTGACCACTCACTAGTCTTGTCGATTACGGTCGAGCACGACCAAGGCTGTCCGATCACACATTATGGCTCGAGGTAGAAGAAGAGGGAGAACAGAGTATATACAAAGTATAAGCACCAGCGTTGGCCGGAACCCTGTGTAGGAGATGGCAAAACTGAACTCTCTTTGTTGAGTTGCAGTGACAAACTATATATAAAAATTCTATCCATCTAGTCCTAGTACAGCGCACATGCTGTAATAGTAACTAGATAACACAGCAGGACTGACTTCTGCGCCTGTCCCTGCATGTGGCTACAGTCCGACAGGTGAGCCGTTCGGCGCCTGCCTTCCCTTGCTGTGTGTTCACAAAAGCAAGCAGTAGATTATCTAACAATTCTTTTCATAATCCTACTGTTATCCCTTGTACCCCCTTCATGTCGATCATCTCCTTCAGCTCCGTGAGTCGAAGACGTCCGAGCGGCTTGGTGAGGACGTCCGCGAGTTGCCGATCAGTTTTGATGAACTCGATGACGATCTGCCCTCTATCGACACAGTCACCGAGGAAGTGGAACTTCACGTCGATGTGTTTGCTCCGGTCGTGCAGAACTGGATTTTTCGCGAGGACAATGGCGGGCTGGTTGTCCACCATTAGTGCTGGTGGGTGAGCTTCCGCATCAGTCAGCTCGCCCAGCAGCCGACGTAGCCACACAACTTGGCACGCCGCTGTGGCCGCCGCTACGTACTCTGTCTCGCACGTAGATAGCACCACCACCTTCTGTTTCAGCGACAACCATAAAATTGGAGCCGACCTGAGGAAGACGAGCACTCCAGAGGTGCTCCGCCGTCCGTCGATGTCTCCCGCCATGTTTGCATCGCTGAACACAATGAGCTGCAACCTACTCCCGTCGGTCTTGGGAAAGATGATCCCCTGATCCACCGTCCCCTTAACGTAGCGCAGTAGCCGCTTTACCGCAGCCCAGTGATCCTCTCTGGGATTCTCCATGAAGCGACTAACGTAGCCCACGGCGAACGCAATGTCCGGCCTTGTGTGGACTAGGTAGCGCAGACCGCCGACGATGCTCCGGTAGAGTGTTGCATCCATCTTTGTCGCGGTGCTGGCCTTCGTCAGTTTCAGCCGCTCCTCCATCAGAGTCACGCATGACTTGCACTCAGTCATGCCGCTCCGCTCCAACAGCTTGGAGGCATACGCGCTCTGACCGAGCGTGAGTTTCTCCTTCCCCTGTCTCACCTTGATGCCGAGGTAGTAGGAGATTGCGTCGAGATCGCTCATTCGAAAACGAGCCACCATCTGGCGCTTGAAGTCGTTGATGTCCTCCGTACGCGCGCCGGTGACGATCAATTCGTCCACATACACGCCGACGACGAGCTTCTCCTTCCCCCATTGCCGCGTGTAGAGCGTGTGCTCGGTTGTGCACCGCTGAAAC